GGGGGTGGCGGCTGGGAGCCAGGTCCTGGGTTCTGGCTCTGGCTCTGGGAGAGGAGTGGGGTTAGATTGGGGGAGTGGAGGCTGGGAGTTGGGCCAGCTGCTGGGTGGGTAAGAAGGAACTCAGTGATCCCTCTTCATGTGTGTTGCTAGGGCCTCTCTCCTACCCGCCCCATCCCCTGCCCCGCCATCGGGTCTCCGCCCCAGCAGCTCTTACCCCTCTCCCTGCAGGTGGGAAGGACCAGGAGGTGGTGCTGGCGAAGCAGGGGCTGGGCAGCGGCGCTGAGGACAAACGTCAGTGCGCCCTGTGCCTCCAGTACGGGGATGCCCCCTCCAAGGTAAGGCCTGGCCTGCGCCAGGGCTGGGGGAGTCCTCCGCCCTCGAATGCATGGCCTTGGGTCACTGGGGATCCAAGGGAGCGTGGCCTGTGGGGCTCTGACACCTGGGTTCAGTCCCCTGCTCGGGGTGGGGGAAGTGGGGGGCTAATGGTTAAAGTAGCAGGGGCTGGGACAGAACCCCTTTTTTGCCCTTTGCTCCCCCCTGCTGGCTGGTGGTGCTGACCCTGACCCCTCGCTCTTCACCCCTCCCCAGGATGCGGGGCGGCTCCTGTACATCGGCCAGAATGAGTGGACCCACGTCAACTGCGCCATCTGGTCGGCTGAGGTCTTTGAGGAGAACGATGGGTCCCTGAAGAACGTGCACGCCGCCGTGGTGCGGGGGCGCCAGATGGTGAGGGGGCAGGGCCCTGCAGGAAGGGAATCGGCCCTGGCTGGGTGAGGGGGCAGGGCTGAGGTGCTGGCAGGGCTATGGCCTGGGGGAGCGGAGCGGGTGAGGACTGTGGCTCTCCCATTGAGGTGGGTGATGGGGGCCTGTCTGCCGGGGGGGGCTAGGGCTGAGACTTTTTTGGGGGGGGGGGGGGGGGGGGGGGGGGGGGGGGGGGGGGGGGGCCGGGGGGACTGTTTCCCCTCTGCACTGGCACAGGCCAGGCTGCGAGCACTGCCCCCTTACCCCTGCTGTGCCCCCAGCGCTGCGAGCACTGCCAGCGCACTGGCGCCACGGTGGGCTGCTGCCTGTCGGCCTGTCTCAGCAATTACCACTTCATGTGCGCCCGCCTGCGCCGCTGCACCTTCCAGGAGGACAAGAAGGTTTTCTGCCAGAAGCACACGGACCTGCTGGATGGGACGGTGAGGAGCCATGCCGGGGGCACCTGTGGGGCAGGGCTATAGGTTGCGAGCCAGGCAGGTTGGGCTATGAGGCGCTACCCCCACTGGAGATTGAGGGCTGGGGCCCCATGGTGTGTTTGGGGGGTCCCTCTGGCTAGGCTGGCCCTGGCGGGGGGTCCCTGCTAAACTGCTCCCAGGCAAGGGCGCACTGCCCAGCTGCTGACCCGTCCCCCCCCACCCACCCCAGGAGATTGTCACCGAGGACGGGTTCGACGTGCTGCGCCGGGTCTACGTGGACTTCGAGGGCATCAGCTTCAAGAGGAAATTCATGGTTGGCCTCGAACCCGACACCGTCAACATGATGATTGGTGAGTGCGGGGGGCTTCTCCCTTCTAGGGAGCGCCGGCTCTCATCTGGCCCCAGAGCAGAGGACTGGCTGACTGGGGGTGGGGAATGGGGCATGTGGCCTCCCCCTCCACGGGACGCCAGCTCTCATCTGGCCCCAGGTGTGTGCGGACACCCTCACCTTGTCTCCTATTCTAGGTTCCATCAAGATCGACAGTCTGGGGCTGCTGACGGACCTGTCGGAGTGCGAGGGACGTCTCTTCCCTGTCGGCTACCAGTGAGTATCTGGCCCCTGGTGCGGGGCTTCCCCGGCTCCCTGCCATGCAGTGTGTGTGCTACAGAGGTGCCCCCCCTCCCCCCGCCCTGGGGCTGCCTGTGTATCCCACTCCAATTTCCAGCCCCCCATTCCCCTCTTTGGGGGGCCAAGCGGGCGGCTGGGGCCATGCTGGAGTGGCCACGGGAGGGTTGAACTAGCAGCCCGAGGGAAGGGTGGCGCGGACGCGTATGGTGCTGACCCAGCACCGTCTGAGCCAACGTGGAGACCCGTCTGGCCGCTCCTGCTTGGAGCACAGGCGTCCAGCCCGTGGGACGGTGCCCTGGCAGGCACATTGCACTCACTGGCTGCACCATCCGGGAGGGGGCAGCCAGTGGGAGAAGTGTCCAGGGCATGGTGCAGCAACCTGGCCCAGCCACCTTTCGGGGAGGTGCTTTAGCCAGACACCTGCGGCTGGGCTTGGGGTGGGGTCTCTGGCTTGTGTTGTCACAGAGCTCAGGTGGCTCTGGGCGGTGCCAGGGCCCCCATGGCCATGCTCTGGCAGCTCACCAGCTGCCCTCTCCTGCCAGGTGCACCCGGCTGTACTGGAGCACGGTAGATGCCCGGAGGCGCTGCTGGTACAAGTGCCGAATCCTGGAGTGCCGGCCCCAGCTGAGCCAGAAGGAGCCAGACCTGCTCGGGGGGCAGGAGGAGAACCAGACCATCGCGCACAGTCCTGCCACAGGTGAGGGGTGAGGTGGGGGGGGGCCTGACCCTGTTGGGTTTGAGTGGGGGGCACTCTGCCACTACACAAGGGAGCTCTGTGGGCCCTGCACAAGCCAGGCCTGTTCTGGGCGGGGCGCTCCCTCCCTCGGGGTCGGGGCTGACCTTGGTGCACCAGCCCCTATGTCCTATCTGGGAGCCATCCTCTCACCCTGGCAGAGGATAAAAGACCCACGGCTGCTGCAGATAGGGGAGACTCCTTTCAGCTCAAAGTGCGGCATTATGTGCAGCTGTTCCCCAGCAGCCCTGCCCCAGAGGTGGCTGCATCTCCGTGCCAGGCGCATGTCCCGGTGCTGTCTCCAGGGCCGTGCAGTCGGGGCTCCCTGCTCTAGCTAGCATGTTGTCTTTGCTCCCATTTCAGACTCTCACCTCGGGGACCTGCACCTCCTGGGCGCAGCACCTGCCATGCTGACACCAGAGTGCCACTCACCTTCCCGCAACCCGGGGCCCCTGCCTCCCCCTGAGTCGGCCACCGCCTCTGTGCCCCGCTCCCTGGCCGGAGCCCGCATCAAAGTGCCCAACTACTCGCCGACGCGCCGGCCCCTGGCTGGGGTCTCCTCCCGGCCGCTGCCGTCACCCGGTAAGTGCCCTTGCCTGGCCCTGAGGGGCAGGGCCGGCTGCCCTATGAGGGGAGGGAGAAGGGTGGGCTGCTGCTCGTGGCCCAGCCTCTCAAAGGATTCTGGGAGACAAACACTGTGTGTGTGGGGGGGGAAGGGCTGTGGCCCAAGGGATTCTGGGATGCGCTGTGTGGGGTTTGGGATGGGGAGGGTGTTATTTTCTGGAGGCTGGTGGTCTGATCCTGTCTGGGAGGGGCATGCGGGGGCCCCCCCCCACCCGGTGCCAGCGTCTAATCCCTCGTCTCCCCTCCCAGGCAGCACGTCGTCCATGGCCCACCACATCCTGACAGTGGGTGACCCGGACTTCACACCACTGCGCCGCCACCGGCGCCACAGCCCCCTCTCACCGCGCCCGCCCCCCCGCCGGGCCCCCTCCCCCCCACGCCTCGCCAGGACTCGGCCGCCGGGCCCCACCTCTCTCAGGGCAGGAGCCGCTCCCCCAGGGAGCAGCCCACAGCACCCCCCTACCTCAGCCAGGCCCGGCCCACCTACCTCCCCCCCGGCACTGCCCCCTGAACTGGCCTTCGATGAGCTCAACGTCTCGGACCTGGAGTTCGACGACAGCCTGCTGGACGAGACCTTCCACGAGGGGGGCGAGGGGCGGGGGCCCTGCTCCTCGCCCGGCCTGCCCCTGGCTGGCCCCAGCGACGAAGATGAGGAGGAAGAAGGGGCTGGGGGCACCAGGCGCTACTTCCGCTTCCCCCCCACCGTGGTCACACGGGACCTGGACATGGCGCCGTACCCACTGGACCTGCAGCTGCCCCACATCGACCAGCTGGATGGGGTGGATGATGGGGAGGGTGAGGGGCGGGGTGCCAATGGCAAGCGGGTGGAGCCAGGAGCGGAGCAGGGGTCGGCTGGCCCTGCCCCCCCACCTGAGGACCTGCCCTCGGAGATCGTGGACTTCGTGCTGAAGAACCTGGGCGAGGGCAAGGCCCCGGAGCCCAGCGTGAATGGCAGCGAGGCAGGCCCCGCGCCTGAGCCGGCCCGTGCCTTGGGCTGGGTGCCAGGCAGCCCGGGCGTCCGGGTGCTGGGCCCCGAGGCGCCCGCTCCCCCCAAGCCTGGCTCCAAGGTCATCCTGGTCAACAAGCTGGGGCAGGTGTTTGTCAAGATGCAGGGTGGGGAGGAGGCGCCGGCTGGGGGTGGCCTGGAGGGGTCGGGCACCCCTGCCAAGCCAGGCCCGGCTCTACCCCCGCAGCCCCCAGCCAGCCTGGGCACAGTGATCTTCCGCGCCGCGGCCCCGCTGGGCGTGGCCAGGAGCCCAGTGCCCACCTGGACCATCCGAGCGCCAGTTCTCAGCATGGTGCCCATGGTGAATGTGCTGCAGCCATCAGGTGCTGGGGGGCAGCTCACCCTGGGCCCCTCGGCCCTGGTCACGCCCTCGCTGGGACTGTCCCAGCCCTGCCTGCTGCAGCGCTTGGCCCTCAACTCAGGTCTGCTCCACCTGCCTGTCCCCCCGCCCCAGCCGCACCCCCACCAGTTCCCCAGCAGTGCCAAGAGGGTTTCTGCCGTCGCTGGTGCCCCCCCCCAAGAGGCCCAAGCTGGAGGAAGATGAGGAGCCGCTGCCCCCTGCGTCGCCAGCTGGTGCCCCCGACAGCCAGAGCAGGAACGGTTTCGCCGGCCCCCCGCAGGGCCCCGGGTAGGTGACCCCACCCCCAAGCTGTGGGGAGCAGTGCACGCTGGGACACGGCCGCCCAGCGCATGTCTCTCTGTAAGGGCGTGTCAGCTGTGTGTCACGGGGTGCCTCAGCCCTGCCCCCCCAAGCTCTGCTGGTACCCCTCAATCTCAACCCACAGCCCCCTCCTATCCCATCCCTGGGCTCCCCACAACCTGCCCCGCTCTGCCAGGGCCCCTTAGTCCCAACCCACAGCTGCCACTGCCTGCCCCCTAAGCCCACTGCTATGCTGGCGTTGCAGGCCCGGCCGGGTGCGGATGAAGACCCCCTCGGTGAAGAGCGTCCTGGAGCTGGTGGCACTGAAGGAGCAGGCGGAGCTGAGCGATGGGGGCAGCACAGGGTGAGTGTGAGCCCTGCCGGCCCCCCACCCTGTCCCATCTTCCTGGCCAGTGGCCCATGTGTGCTGAGCTCCCTCTGACTGCCCCCTGCAGGTCACCCTCGGATCCCTCTCTGGCCCCAGAGTGCAGCCCCCGCATGCCGGATCCCAGCCTGGAGCCTCTGCCAGAGCCCACGTGGCATCGCTACACAGGTATCGCCTGGGCGGGCAGCATGGGGCTGTGCAGCGGGATGAGGGGGCGCTGTGCCACGAGGAGCAAGGCAGAGGGAGCGGGTGCTGTGGGGAGGTTGGGGCATCGTGCCATGCTCTGAGGAGGTTGGGGGGATGCCGTGCTGCAGGGCTTGGCTGGGGGGCAGAGTGGGGCCTGGGATTGGAGCAGGGTGCCCGTCCCTCATTGTGGAAGGTGTCGTGGAGACATGAGCCAGGGCCAGCTGTCCTCTGCCCTACCCCATTCTCACTCTCTGCCCCCAGGGGAGCTGTCGAGCTCTGACGAGGACACCTTGTACTGTGAGGATAAGGAGAACGAGGCGCCACCCAAGAGCCAGCCGCACCTACGTTTCGAGATCAGCAGTGAGGATGGGCTCAGCGTGCAGGCGGACAGCATCGATGGTACGGGTGTGGGTGGGCGCATGGGACACGGGACCTTTCCCTTCCAAGGGGGCGCTGGCTCTGAGCAGTCCCCAAGGGAGAGGACTGGCTGGCTCAGGGGCAGGGAGGGGCAGGACATGGGGCTGTGGGAGTGCCAGGCAGCCCAGGGGCTTATGCTCTCCCCTGCTCTTTCCCCAGGTGCCTGGAAGGCCGTGATTGAGAAGGTGCAGGAGGCACGAGCCAATGCCCGCCTCAAGCACCTGTCATTTGCTGGTGAGTGTGGGGAGCCTTAGCCTGGGGTCTTGTGGACTAGAGCAGGGGGGCTGGGAGCCAGGACTTCTGGGAGTGCAGTGGGGTATAGTGGTTAGAGCGGGCAGAGCTGGGAGCCAGGACTCCTGGGTTCTCTCCCTGGTTCTGGGCAGGAGTGGGGCTCGTGGTTAGAGCGGGGGTGGGGGAAAGGGGCTGGGAGCCAGGACTCCTGGGGAGGGGGCAGGGCTCATGGCTATGCTGGTCTCTGATGGCTGGTCTCCCCAGGCATGAACGGGGTGCGCTTGCTGGGCATGCACCACGACGCTGTCACCTTCCTGGTGGAGCAGCTGCACGGCGCCAAGTCCTGCCACAAGTACAAGTTCCGCTACCACCAGCACGAGGAGGAGGAGGAACCGCTGCCCCTGAACCCCAATGGCTGCGCCCGCGCCGAGATCTACGTCAGGTGGGGCTGAGGAGACGTGTACTTGAGTGGGGCAGGTCCGGTCACGGGGGGCGGGGGAGACACCTCGAACTGGGAATCCAGCCTGGGGGTGGGGCTGGCGCTGGCGACCTGGCCGGTAGGAGGGTGAGGGGTCTGTCAGGAACGGGATGGGGGTTGGTGGGGGGTTCAGGATTGATCCAGGCAGGGATGTGGTTGGGAATAGGGGAGGGGTCAATGGTGCTTTAATCCTGCTTTCCCGCCCCCCTCCCCCCCCCCCAGGAAATGCACCTTTGACATGTTCAACTTCCTGGCGTCGCAGCACCGCACATTGCCCGAGGGCGGCACCTATGATGAGGAGGAGGATGAGGTGCAGCTGAAATCCACCAGGTAATGGTGCAGGGAGCCAGGATGCCTGGGTTCCCTCCCTGGCTTGGGGAGGGGCTGGGAGCCAGGACTCCTGGGTTCTGTGCCTGGCTCTGGGAGGGGTGAGGATGGGGCAGGGGGGCTAGTGATTAGAGCCAGGGGGCTGGGAGCCAGAACTCCTAGGTTCTGGGCCCAGCTCTGGGAGGGGATTGGGGGCTAGGAGCCAGGACTCCTGGGTTCTGTGCCCGGGCGGGTTCGGTTCTGATCCGTTCTGTCTCCTGCTCTCCCCAGACGAGCCACCAGCCTGGAGCTGCCCATGGCCATGCGCTTCCGGCACCTCAAGAGAACTTCCAAGGAGGCTGTGGGCGTGTACAGGTAATGGCCCCAGCCAATCCCAAGCCCTGGCATATGGCCCCGCTCTTACACGGCATGTACAGGGGGGCAGAGATGGGCATCTGGCTACAGCTGGTGCCCCCACTCACCCTGCTCCGTTTGCCCTGGGGATGCTCGCTGCTTGGCTCGCGCTGCCTGCCCCCCCACCCCATGTGCTGCCTGTGAACCCAGGTCTGGCTCCAGCGCTGACCTTGTGTCCCCCTCAGGTCGGCCATCCACGGGCGTGGGCTGTTCTGCAAACGCACCATTGATGCGGGCGAGATGGTCATTGAGTACTCTGGCATCGTCATCCGCTCAGTGCTGACCGACAAGCGCGAGAAGTACTACGATGGCAAGGTGCGGGGGGGCTGGGCTGGGGGAGCTTTGCTGCGAAAGGCTCTATCTGGGGGGTGAGGGATGGTGGTGCTGGGGGGAGGTTGTCGGCACTGCTGGGGGGCTGGTCCATAGTTGCTGAGGGCAGGAGGGGAGCTGCTCTGTGGGGGTTGGTGCTGGGGGTCAGGTGGGTGGAGGCTGGGGCTGTGGGGGTTGCAGGGAGTGGGTTGCCAGCTTGTGGGGGCAGGAGCGGCAGGTTGTCGGCTGGGGGGATGGGTTGCTGGGGGTGGGTTGCTGCCTTGGGGAGGGGATGCTGGGGGCAGGGGAGGGGCAGCTGGGTGGGGGCTGGTGGCCAGGGGGTTGCTGGGGGTGGGTTGCCGGATCAGGAGGGGTTGCTTCAGGGGGCAGGAGAGGGGGCGCCGAGGGGTGGGGAGGAGTGGCTGGGGAGGGCTGCTGGGTGCTGGTGCTGGGGGCAGGAGATGGGTGGCTGGGTGGAGGCTGGTGGCCGGGGGGGTTGCTGGCTCGGAGACCCAGCAGCGGCCATGGGGCGCCCTGCGACCCATTCTCTCCCCCCCCCCCGCCCCCTGCAGGGCATCGGCTGCTACATGTTCCGCATTGACGACTTCGACGTGGTGGACGCCACGATGCACGGCAACGCTGCCCGCTTCATCAACCACTCGTGCGAGCCCAACTGCTACTCGCGCGTCATCCACGTGGAGGGGCAGAAGCACATCGTGATCTTCGCCCTGCGGCGCATCTTCCGCGGCGAGGAGCTCACCTACGACTACAAGTTCCCCATCGAGGACGCCGGCTCCAAGCTGCCCTGCAACTGCGGGGCCAAGCGCTGCCGCCGGTTCCTCAACTAGCACCTGCTGCTCTATCTGGGGCGCCCGCCTTTGGGAGCTGGGATCAGGGCCCTCTCCAGAGCCCCCTGGTTTCCTGCTACCTCCCCCTGATCCTCTCCTCTTCCAGGCCCCCAGCAGCCCAGTGCTGGGCTTTTGGGGGGCAAGGGAGCCCAACTGCTCGACACCCCCAGACACTGGCCTGGGGAGGAAGGGCCCCTAGCGTCAGTGCTGGGGGCAGGGCCTGGTGCCCCAGACTCCTCTGCTGTGATCTCCCCCTTTCCCCCCGCCCACCCCCAGTTCCAGGGCAGCTTGTGGCTCCTGCCCCTCAATTGCCCCACTTTCCCGGGCGGGGAGGAGCAAGACTTGACTTGGGGCAGGCCCCTTGGGGAACATGGTCTTGCCCCCTTTTTCAGAGCCCCCCATGTGGGCTGGGCTAGTGGGGTTTGCCCCAGAGCAGGGGAGCACAATGACCCCCCTGCTGATCTGCACTAGCAGAGGCACGAGGTGTGTGTGTGTTTGCCCAGCCCCCACCTCCTGAGTCTGGACTCCCAGCTCTGGCCTGGGGGCTGCTTTCCTTTTTGTACGGGGAGGGTGTGAGTGGGGGGCGGGGGGCCAGGGCAGGCCCCCCAGTGGCCCCCCAACCCTGTAGATATTTGTACAGATGTTTCTAAACCTGTTTATTTTCTATGCACTTTTTTATTTAAAGCGGTGAGTCAGCCCTGCGCCCCTGGCCCCGCCCCGTTGGTATAATTTTAAATAAATGGCCATTTTCACATGCTGCGCTCTTCCTCGGGTCAGTGCCAGGGGAAGGGGGGATGCTGACATGGGTGGGGGGAAATGGGGTCTGGGCACACTGCCCCCTGCTGGAAAAGGCCTGCACCAGCTCTTCCCTCCTGCCCCTGCTCTGCAGAAGGGCCTCCTCTTTTCCATTGGCTCAGGCCTGGGGTAGCCACAGCTCCCTGCTGCTTCCCCCGCTGCCACCTCCTGGCTCTGGCCAAAGTCACCATTAACACCAGGAGGAGGATGCTGGCTGAGGGGGGTGGGACCTATTTCTGTTCCTCCCTAGTCTTGTGCCTCCAGGCAGCATTCCATGGGGCAGCGTCCGCTCACTCCCTAGACACCTTCAGGGTTGTGCCTGCTGCTTGGGCCAGGTTCATTGCAGGGACTGGCCCCATGTGGCATGTGCAGCTGTTCCCCACCCCAGAGGTGGCTGCATCTCAGTGCTGGGCGAGCTGTCCCCCGGGTTGCTGCAGTGTGGCCATTATCCAGATGCTCCTGTCCTGTATCAGTTACTGTCTCCTGGGCGGGGGGGCAGTGTCAAGGTCTCCAATGTGGCTTTGGTGCCTCCTGCTGGCCTTTGATGAGACTGGCTGCACCAGGGGCTCTGAGACTAGGTTGGGGAGGGCAGCCCCTCTGGCTGATTGACCCTCAACCCTCCTCCAGTGTAGTTGCCAGGCCTGCTCTAACATCTGCCCCCAGCCACCTGGGAACCCAGGTGTCCTGGTCTTCACTGTACCTACACTCCTTGATGGTTCTTGGTGTACACCCCCTCAGGGAGAGGCTAGCAGCTGAGACCCCAGCTGCCCTGCGCTCTGTGATTCTTGTCGAGGAGTATAGACGGGAACCCCAGTGGCCTGCCCCCCCACCCTGGCCATGGGGAGGGGGGCTGTAGCAGTGAGGTGGCGCAGCTAGAGAGTGGAGGGCAGCGTGAACAAGGTCCTGGCTTGTTTCCTTCCTGTGGTTGGCAGGGGGTCTGAGTGGGGGGTTGCGTGTCAGTCCAGGCAGGCAGGCAGCTCACACCCCCACCTGCACCCCTTCCAGCACCTGTAGGGCATCCTTGCGCCCCATAGCAGCCAGCAGCCCGGCCAGCTGCCCCAGTGTGGCATCGGGCTGGCGAGCAGCCACTGTCTCTAGGGTGGCACGCAGGGGGCTGCGTGTGCTGCGCAGGGAATAGGCATAGTCAATCCAGGTGGCTGAGAGGCCGTAGCGGGCGGCCAGGTGCCGGGTGCCCCCCCCAGCCTTGCCCTCGGGGTCCAGCAGCATGATCAGCTCCTCCAGCACGTCCGCGTCGTCCAGCAGGTGCTGCAGTGGTGCCCCCCACAGGCCTATGGGGCACAGAGTGGGGGTGAGCTAGGACATGGGGAAGGGTGGGTGTAGGGGGAAGGGAGCCACACCTACCTGCAGGGCCAGTGGTGGGTGCTATGGTGCCAGCTGTCTCCTCTGCACGCTGGGGGTGAAGCAGCAGATGGGGCTTAGCCATGGGGCTGGAGGCTGGAGGGGCAGAAGGAGGAGGTGAGGGTTGGGGCCCTGGACCCCCAGCCCGAGGGGAGCACTGAACAGCTACCAGAACCCTGCCCACTGCTCATGGAGCAGAGCTTCAAACATGCACCCCCCCCTCCCCCCCCGGGCTAGGCCCCACCTGCTGTCCAAGGAGCATTGCCCCCAGGATACGGGCTTCTAGTGCTTAGAACAGCCCTTCCCTGGGGGCAGGCCCCGCCCACTCTTCCAAGGAGCTCCTCCCAGAACAGAGCAGACCCTGCCCCTTCCCAAGGGGGGCAGGCTCCTCCCAGCCTCTGCCTCAGGAGTTCAATGAAAATGGGAGTGGGGGATGGGGGAGGAGCCTGATGGGCAGTGGGTGGGACCTGCTCTGTGGGGGGGCTCTCAGCAGGGGGAGGGGCTTGATGGAGTTGGGGGTCTATTCCAGCATGGGCAGCCGTGGGGCTGGCTGGCTACTCACCCTGGTGGGGGCACCAGCCACGCTGTGTCCAGACAATGAGAGCGAAGGCCCCAGCCAGCAGCAGCAGCAGCAGCAGCAGCACCAGAACAGCGACATAACCACCGTAGCCTGCAATGGGGGCGGCAGTGGGTCATGGGAACAGCGCCTGGCTACTCTGGCCGTGGCCAGCAGGGGGCACTGTGGGCACAGGGTGTGGGGGGAGCTCTCTGTGACTCCAGCCCCGGTCTGCCCCAGCAGGGGGTGCTGCAGACCCCACGTACCTGCCGTGTCGCTGCAGGATTCGGGCCCTCCAGGGGTCCCAGAGGTGGGGGCCGAAGCAGAGCCTGGGGCGTGGCCAGAGCCCCCCGGTACCTCTGAAGACCGAAGCCAAGTGGAGGACCTAGGGGAGGCCCCAGGCCAGCACGGGGGGAGGGAGGCAGGAGACTCGGCACCGGGAGCCTGAAAGGCAGAGCCATGCAATAGGGAATGAACACGTGACACCCCCCGCCCAAGTCCGAATAGAACCCAGGAGTCCTGGCTCCCAGCGCCCCCCCTGGCACCTACCTCCGCTGTTCTGTTGCAGTCGATGTTAGCCAGGAGCGCAGGGTGACACTGCTCGGCAGGGAAGCAGCACCGGGGCCGGCACCTCCCATCCGGCCCCCGCCGCTGCCTGCGGAGCCGAGAGCAGCCTTGTCAAACAGGGGAAAGAGCAGCGCCCCTTTCCCCCCGCCTCCCGCCATGTAGAGAACCCAGGTGTCCTGGTGCCCAGGCCCCCAAGCTCTCTAACCACTAGGCCCCACTCCCCTCCCAGGCCCAGGGATTGAACCCAGCACCCTGACTCCCAGCCCCTGCTCTAGCCAAGGTGGGTCCCTGCCGTACCCGGGGGGGCAGCACCGGGCATCCTGTAGGCGGGTGCAGGGGCTGAGCTCGGTGCCGGGCGGGCACTGGGAACAGGGCTGGCACAGCAGGAATCGCCCATCGTTGAAGGATTTGGAGGGACACTCCTGGCTGGGAGTTGCGAAGCGGCCGCCTGTGTCCCTCATGCCGCAGTTCACAGTGAACTCCAGTCCTGGGGAGACCGTGGAGTGAGTCAGAGCCCCCGGACCCACACCCTGCACCCCACCCCCCAGGGTCCCCAGCTGACCACCTGCCCCACAGCACAGTGCCCCATACAGAGCCCCCTGCCCTGCTCTCTGCAGCATGATGCCCCCCTACCCTGCACCCTGGGGCCCCCTGCTGACCACCCGCCCCACACTGCAGCGCTCCCTACCGAGCCCCCCGCCCCACAGCATGGCGTCCCCTGGTGAGCCCCCCGCCCCACAGCATGGTGCCCCCTGGTGAGCCCTCTCTGCTCCCCCCCCCCACTCACCGTGCAGTGGGACATGGTTTGCGAGGCCGGTCTCACAGGGGACGCAGGCCTGGGCCTTCTGGTGCCAGTACTGCAGGTGGCTGCACTTCTTGGACATGGAGTTCCGGGCCCTCGTGGAGGCGACGGGGGGCAGCAGGGCACTGGGCAGGAGGCAGAGCAGCAGGGGAAGCAGCATGGCAAGGACCGTGTGTGTGTGTGTGTGGGGAGGGCTAGGATGTGCTGGGACCTGGGAGAGAGGAGAATGTGGGGAGGGGCTGTAACCCCCACATCACAGCTACTCCCTCCCCCAGCCGCAGCCCCTGCCCTACTGATACCCCCCAGCTGACCCTGAGCCCAGCCACCCCCTGCCAGCTGCCCGTAACCCCCTAGCTCACGTCAACCCTCCCCAGCTATACTCCTTCCCCACAGGTCCCCTGGCTGCTTCAGCCCCTGCTCCACTAATCATACCCCTACAGCCTGTACCCCTCCCCCCCAGCTCACCCCTTTGGCCTGTACCCCTTCCCCACACACCCTCCATAACCCCACCAACCTGTGCCCCCCCGATACCCCACCCTACCAGCCCCAGCTGTCCCCCAGGCTCTCACCCCTGCCCGGCGTGTGTATCCTCTTTCCTGCTGTTCCCCCACGTTCGTATGGGCTGGCGAGTTGCACGTGTGTTTGCTTCGCTGCTCACCTCTGTAAGGCGTGTGGACTCCGTGGTGCTGGCCCCCCCCAACCTGCCCCCCCATTTCCCGTCTCCACCCTGCACACTTCCTGCCATCCTGAAAAACAGCAGTCAGCTGAGGCAGATATAGCCAGTCAATTCAGCACTACTAACCGCATGGGGAGTACCCAGCCAGTGCTGAGACGCAGCCACCACCAGACCATGGCTGCTGGGGAATGGCTGTACGTAACACTGGACGGGACAGCGCACCTGGTGCTGTGATGCAGCCACATCTGGGGTAGGGCAGCCAGGGAACAGCCACACATAACACCACATGGCGACAGCTTGCCCAGCCCTAGGATGACCAGACAACAAGTGTGAAAAATCGGGACGGGGGTGGGGGGCAATAGGAGCTTATATAAGAAAAAGCCCCCAAAATCAGGACTGTCCCTATAAAATTGGGACATCTGGTCACCCTACCCGTCACTGAGATGCAGCCAGGTCTGGATTAGGGTAACTTGGGAACAGCCGCACGTAACACTGCACTGGGACGGCTCACCAGGTGCTGAGATGCAACTACCTCTGGGGCGGGGCAGCTGGGGAACGGCTGCACGTAATGCTGCACAGGAATGGCTCCCCCGGCACTGAGACATGGCCAGCTCTGAGGTTCTTGCAGCTGATGAATCTAGACAAAATACAGGGGATGAGAGTGCAGGAAAAGACAGGTTACAAAGTAGCAGCCGTGTTAGTCTGTATCCGCAAAAAGAACAGGAGTACTTGTGGCATCTTAGAGACTAACAAATTTATTTCAGCATAAGCTTTCATGGGCTACATCCCACTTCTTCAGATGCATAGAGTGGAACACAC